AGCGTACGCGGCTTGCTCATCTCGGAGGCCATGAACTAATACTGTTCGCTCTTCGTGGTGTTGTGCATTTTTGCAGAAGGCGTTTTATCTCCCAGCGCTGCTCTCTAGAGTTTTTAGAAGACATAGTGGAATGTGCCAGTGTCCGAAGGTACTTGTTCAGCTGCGGCATATTAACCTTCTCTCGTTGCATGCTTGGCGAGTCCTTTTTCTCCCCTGCACCCTCTTTCAAGCCAAATACCTAAGGCCCTGCATGCCTGCTCATTCCAGTTTTAACATCTGCATCCTTTTTTATTCTTCCTTTATTTCCTACCCACCTGCCCAGAAGGCTCACCTCCATCTTTCTCCCTCTGTAGAACCAAGCACTTGTCCGGATCTCCAAGACACAAAGGCCTGAAGAAGATGCACTTCATTAAGAACATGAGGCAGTATGACACCAGGAACAGCAGGTAAGCTTCCCGTTTGTTGTTAGCCGCCCTGAGTCCCTGTATTGGAAGAAAAGTGGGATAAAAATCAAATAAATAAATAGATATATACAGAAAAGGACCATTTTCAGAAGCTTTCTGCCACAATGGAATCCTTTGGTGCCTTGAAGACTAAGACATTTATTATAGCATGAGCTTTTCACAATCTGTGCTACATTATAAACATTGGCTGCTGATCAAATTGCTGCAGAGAACACAAACATGCTAATATCCTTCATTATCATATCATCATCTGTTCATGGACAATGTCAGTGACATTATCAGTACTTTCTGTACCTCGTAACCATCATTGCAACCTATGTCCTTCCCTGTTCTGCCCCAACCATGTATACATACATCATACATACTTGAAATATTGATGACGGTTCATGCACCCCGTGAATTGGCTTTAACCCATGAGAAGTCATGGGATAATAAATTTCTTAGTCTTTAAGTGGCCATAGGACTCTATTGCTTTAATTTAAAAAACTCCCATTTGCCTCTCCAGTTCGTTATGGAAATTGGCTTTAGAGTAGCAAGGATTTGAATGTTCAGAAATGGGCATTTATTGGGTAAATTTTTCTGATTATATATTTCATGTATGTATTTTATGTGCCTTTTACTAATTGATCTTTCCCATTACTTGTGTACCATTTTCTTTCAAACTGTTCTAATTACTTTATTGATTCTGTGATCAAACTATTGTATTTACTCTAATGCTCACATTTTCTTCTTGTGAGGAGAGCACCAGGATTGTGGTGTAGCTGGCTGAGTATCACCTGCATTAAGATCACTTCTGACCAAAAGGTCATGTGTTCGAAGCCAGCCCAGGTCGGAGTGAGCGTCTGACCAATTGTGTAGCTTGTTGTCAACCTTTGCAACCCGAAAGACAGTTGCACCTGTCAAGTAGGAAAGTTAGGTACCACCTATGTGTGGGAAGGCTAATTTAACTAATTTATGAGGCCATAAAAAAGACTTTAGCAAAAAGCACTCCAGCCAAGCATGCGGGGAATGCCGAAGTACTTCATCAGTGTCGCAGATGGACGATGAAAGCAACAGCTCCRCTGGTGGCCAGAAAAAGTTAAATAGCCTCTGTGTATGTCTATATACYTTGTATGTGTAATTGGCATTGAATGTTTGCCATACATGTGTACATTGTAATCCGCCCTGAGTCCCCTGCGGGGTGAGAAGGGCGGAATATAAATACTGTAAATAAATAAATAAATAATGACCAATCTCAATAAAATAGTGAAGAYTAGAGACCTCACACTGGCAACAAGATCCGCATAGTTAAAGCAATGGCATTCCCCATTGATGTGAGAGCTGGACCATGAYGAGGGCTGAGCAAAGCAAAATACACACTTTTGAACTGTGGTGCTGGGGGYAAATTCTGAGACTGCCTTTGACTGCAAGAAGATCCAACCAGTCCATACTTTGGGAACTAATGCCCGACTGCTCACCAYGGGAGGGGAGGATATCAGAGGCAAAGATGAAGACTCTGACCGCATAATAAGAGAAAAGGAAAGCTTAGAGAAGACAATGATGCTGGGGAAAATTGAAYGAAAAAGGAAGAGGGGCTGATCAAGGGCAAGATAGATTCATGGTATCCTTGAAGTGTCTGGCTTGACCTAGAAGGTGCTGGTGGAAATAGCCAACAGGGAGCTCTGGTGGGCTTGTCCATAAGGTCACGAAGTGTCAGAAATGACTGAATGAATAAGCAACAATGCTCACCTTTTTTGGCTAAATTACCTTCTCAAAATTAGGGTGTGCATTAGATTCACGTAATATGACAATCTTAGTGCTGAGCCAAAGCAAAAGGTGAAGCTACTTCTGGAGCACTTTGGGCTCCTATTTGAGGGACATCATCTTTAATTCAATTGCCGTGGTTCATTGCTATGCAATGCTGGGATTTGTAGTTTGGAGAGGCAACAGCATTCTTTAGTAGCCCCCATGATCCCAAACTCTAGCCCCCATGACCCCATAGCATTGAACCAGAGCAGTTTATATATCCATTCAATGTTTATTTATTATTTATTTCTGGTATTTATATCCCGTCTCTTCTCTACCCCGAAAGGGGGACTCAGGACGGCTTACATAGGCAGAAGTTCAATACTGTTACATGAACAATTAATACAATAACCATTAAACAAACCATCAAACCATTAAAATACATAAAATACACAAGCCATTAATTAAACAATATAAAAACATTTGTTACCAAATAGAATTGTATCCTCATGTAAATTGCCTTTCCAATCCATTTCCACTAAAGTGCTAATTTATGTCTGCTTCTGTTATTAGTACACATGGATGTAAAACCTAGCAATATGTTCATTTTACAGCATACGTTCACCCCAAGGTTTCCTTTTCCATTTCTGAAAGCTTTGGTGTTCTGACAGTTTTGTTTTTAAAGAAGGAATTATAAGCATGCAGCCACTGTAATGGGCACCTTTTTGGCCAAATTACAGAGTGTGATTTTTGCCACTTCTCATTACATTTCAGCAGCAAATACGTTTTTTTGGTTTCAAGGTTTTGATACTTGAGATACACATTAGATTCAATGGTGCATTAGAGTTGAGTAAATACAGGTAATTTGGGATCCTAAAGGTAACTATTTTGATATCCTATATCCTAGTGCTATCAGTATCCGCAAAGAAGTGAAGTACTCTTCGGAGTAATGTGTTGTTGAAGGCTTTCATGACCAAAATCACTGGATTGCTGTGAGTTTCCGGGTTGTATGGCCATATTCCAGAAGCATTCTCTCCTGATGTTTTGCCCACATCTATGGCAGGCATCCTCTGAGGTTGTGAGGTCTGTTGGAAACACCCTCCCCAAAGATCTTGGACATTGGCAGTCTTTAGAAAGAACTTGAAGACCTGGCTGTTCCGATGTGCCTTCCCAGAATAGGAATCTCCAATAACAAGTCCCAGAAGCACTTTATTAGAATTAAGACTGCTGCACACTGCACACTGCACTTACCCTACAATCCTTACATATCACCTGTCACATCAGCACTTTTAATTCTGTACCCATTACTCTGGCCCGGCCCAGTTTTATTGTGTCTTGGTGTATTGTTTATTGCTGTTGTTTAATATTGCTATAATTGTTTTTAATTCGCTTTAGGTTTTGTATTGTTATGTTGTGTTTGAGGCCTTGGCCTTTGCAAGCTGCATCGAGTCCTTCGGGAGATGCTAGCGGGGTACAAATAAAGTTAATAATAATAATAATTGGAAACTAGGCAAGTGAGGTTTATATATCTGCGGCATGTCCAGGGCATTCCACAATATATGAACATTCTCCCTCTCTGGACATTCCACAGATATATAAACCTCATTTGCCTCAACAGACCCCTCAACCTCTGAGGATGCCTGCTATGGATATAGGGAAAACATCAGGAAAGAATGCTTCTGGAACATGGCCATACAGCCCAGAAAACTCACAGCTATTCTTCGGAGCTTTGGGGAAAATAATTGATGACAGTTCCCAAACCCTGCTTCCCAGCTAGCATGACCATTTTTCAGAAGTAACTTTGCCAGGCTCTGTTCCAATGGAGTAGTTATGAAGGAACACAAAAGGGAATATTTCCCTCTTTTTCCTTTTTCGATAGAATGCACAGCAACAAAATACAAAGGGAATTGATGGGGAAGTGGTGAAACATTATATAGTGCAGGCATGAGCAAACTTTGGCCCTCCGGGTGTTTTGGACTTCAACTCCCAGAATTCCTAATAGTGGGTAGGCTGTTAAGAATGGTGGGACTTGAAGTCCAAAACACCCGGAGGGGCGGAGTTTGCACATGCCTGATATAGTGCAACTAGTTCGTTTATCCGACGTTCTGCTGGCCCATTTATGTCGAATAAGCGAGACTACTGTAACACTAAAGATTGGCAGATGCATATCTTCCAGGCGCATACTGGAATGGATGGGATCGATCTATTTCCAGAGTAAGCACAAATTAGTGCAATCCCATAAGAGGAAGGCTAGGTCCCCATCGCTCCCTGAAATCCCAAGCAACTGACGTTTTTATGGGGGAGGCTGAAGGTGGGTACAAAATACTATTGATGACTCATAATGCTCTTTTTCTGTCTCCTTTCAGGATAGTATTAATTTGTGCTAAACGAACATTATGTGTGGCTTTTTCAATTCTGCCTTATGGGGAGAGTTTGCGGATCAGGTGAGTGTTCCCTAATTTTGACTAGACTAATAACTTTGAATCGTATGTTTTCCTTATGAAAAAGCATTTAAATTGTTGCGTCACTCACGCCTTCCCACAAATAGAACATTGAAGAAGGAAATGGATGTTTTCGTGACAGAAACCCACATACAGATGTGCCTCTATAAATAGACTATGGGAAACTTCTCTCTGGCTCGATGGGAAAACTCTAAGGGTCACCCAAAAAAGCTTGGCTTGGCTGAAAACTGAATGGATAATTGGAGTTCAAGAGGCGGAGGGGTGGGCTTTGGAGCATGGAGAGGTACGCCATGCTGTGGCTGCATACAAGAGCCTCTTCTCAGTTGTCCCAGAAGACTGTCAATCTGAACTCAAATCAATATCATTCAGCTATTTATCAAATCTGGGTTGTGACTACACTTGAAATAGTCTGTGCAGTTGTGGTCACTGCACTTCTTTATCTTATCTATATAAAAGTCAATGTATGAATGGATGTTTGTTTGTCCATGTGTACCACAGAGGCTATTGCTGTGTGAAGTGGGCCTCTGTAACGTCACTGGATTGATGTATTGTCGAAGGCTTTCATGGCCGGAATCCATGGGTTGTTGTAGGTTTTTCCGGGCTATATGGCCATGTTCTGGAGGCAATTTTTCTCCTGACGTTTCGCCTGCATCTATGGCAAGCATCCTCAGAGTCACTGGATTGGCTGTTGTTAAGTGAAGGATTGACTGTTGTAAGGTGAAGTGGCCCTCTGTGGTGTCCCTGGGGGGAAAAGGTGACGTGTGTATGTGTGAGGAGAAGGGAAGAAGGAAGAGAGGAAGAAGGGAGAGTGGAAGAAATTGAAAACAGGGAAAGAATAGAAAGAAAAGGGGAAAAGGTGTGAATGGAAAGAAGAAAAGAAAGAGAAAGAAGGGAAAAGCAAGGAGGAGGAGAAAGAAAGGAGGGAGGAAAGAAAGAAAGAAAGAAAGAAAGAAAGAAAGAAAGAAAGAAAGAAAGAAAAGAGAAAGGGAAGGAGGAAAGAAAGAGCCTCAACTAGAGCCTGCCTAAAGAGAGATGTAATGAAGACATTATGAGGTAGGCTTTCTCAGAACTGAAAAAAAGGAAAAAGTAGGGTGGGCAAGTGCTGCGAACGACACCAAGGCAACAGCAGATATATATGCTAGCTATATAATATGTTGCTGGGTATATAAGGTAGTTATTCAATATGCTGCCATTCTCCTGGCATGGAACTGAAGGTGACTTTTGACAAGTTAAAATAAAGCACAGCCAAAATGTAATTGCAAAAAGTAAAAAAACAATTGAGGCAACAATTCTGTTAAAAGCATCCAGTTAAAACACATGTTTAAAAACTCATTAAAAACCTCATTGGCCACGGGTGTCCAACTCCCCTCTTACACCAGCTCCACTGGCTACCAGTCTGCTTCCAAACACAATTCAAAGTGCTGGCTTTATCCTATAAAGCCTTAAACGGTTCTGATCCAGCTTCCTGTCCGAACGTATCTCCCTCTATGACCCACCTCGGAGGTTAAGATCGTCAGGGGAGGCATTGCTCTTGGTTCCACCCCCCTCGCAAGCGACACTGGTGGGGATGAGAGACGGGGCCTTCTCAGTGGTTGCCCCTCGCCTATGGAACTCCCTCCCCAGTGAAATTAGATCTCCCACTCCCTCCTGACCTTCAGGAAAAAGACTGAAAACATGGCTCTGAGATCAGGCTTTCGGCCAGTAACGGGAGTAGTGCAATATCAGATACAATTTAATATAATGATGACTCGGACAGTCCCTGGAATACAATTTAGATCATGTGATTTTAATTGATGTTTTAATGCTATGTTTTTTGATGGGTTTTGGTTTAAACATTTTTGTTTATTTACCGATGCATTCATATATGGCATTGAATTGTTGCCTTTGTAAGACCGTTCTGAGTCCCCTTCGGGGTTGAAAAGGGCGGGATATAAATGTGGTAAATAAATTAATAAAAAGACAAAAGCATAGTACCTCCCATTAAGAGGTCCTTCTGGTGCATGGGTTTGAGCTCTTAAGATCTTCCAGGGAGGCCCTCCTCTTGGTCCCACTACCATCTCAAGCGCGGTTGGTGGGGACGAGAGAGAGGGCCTTTTCAGTGATGGCCCCTTGTCTCTGGAACACCCTTCCAAGGGAAATAAGACAGGCTCCATCACTTCCTTCCTTTCATAAGAGGTTGATGACCTGGTGGTTTCAACAAGCCTTTGAAAATGACCAGTTCTAACTCAGCCCCACACATTGTCGAATACGGCCTTATTTTTCCTACCAATTACCCAGATTCTTTTTTCTAATCGGCCCCGGAATGAACAGCCACAGACCTGTACCTAATATTATTGTTGCCTGCCATAGCATTGCACTTAATTCCCGAGGCCCCTAGAATTTTTGGGCTTGCACAAATCTTGGCCCGGCCTTTTAAACTTTTTCATTGCCTTGAACAGGCAGGATTATTTTTAATATATGTGTGTTATGGCAACAATTTTTATGCTTATATTTTGTTTTGTTAATCTTATGGTTATGTTGTTTTTACTTTGTATGTTTTGTGATGTTACCTGGGAACCACTCCATCTCCTTGGAGAGATGGAGTGGTATATAAATAAAGTTTTATAAATAAATTATTATTATTATTATTATTATTATTACAAAGAGCCAGTGGAGAGAGAGTAAAGCAGGGCTCAAGTGGGAGGGAGTTCCATTGTCTGGGAGCTTTCTCCTCACTAGGCAGTCTTATGAGGAAGAGGGATGTTGTAGAGCTGGGAAATGTGTAGAAATAGGCAAAAACCAAAACATTCCTTGGAAGGAACATTTATATCTGGAGCTTCACTTAGGAGAAAAAAGTTAGTAAGTGGAGACACAATAGAAGAACCTTCTGTTATGCATGGAATGGAGAAAGTAAATAGGGAGTTGTTTATCTGTGTCTCTTAACATTAGAATAGGGGAACATCCATTGAATTCTGGGAGGTGAGGGATTCAGGAGGAAATGATTCTTCACTCAGAGCAGTGTTAAAGCTGTAAAATCATGGAAGGTGGAACTGTGAGGTTCCCATTGCTCAGCCCATCTGTGTGTCTTTTGCAGCCTGGATGTTTATTGTCTTCTCCTTGGCCATTCCACACTCACATCTTGCAATCCAAAGGCCAACCTGTACCCCAGAAACGTTCTCAAATGTTGTACCTTATCATGGGAATTGTTCTGTTTGTGCAGATTTATGTATTACCCTGGAGTTATTTATAAAAGCAGGAAGAACTTTGGGTGTTGCTGACGTCTTCTTTGCTAGTTCACAGACCTTTTTTGAAAAAAAGTAAATACAGTCTTTTGAAAAGCACAAATGTTTATGGGGGAAGAAAAGGCATGAGAATTGCCCTTCTAATTTCACAATGTGTATGGGTTTGTTTGGATTTCTTAAAAAAAAAAAAAAACACTACTGAGCGGGTTTTGACCTGCATGAGAAAAAACAGCTTTAATTCCAGTCTTGCCAATTCTGCCCTTAACAGTGAATTGAGGATAGAAGGACAGAAACAAAGGCACCCGTCTGGTGGAGTTTCAGTCTCTTCTGAAATGGTGCTAGGAATGGAAGGCGTGGAACTGGGAGCTGATGGCAAGGTAAGGAACTCCTTCATGAATCACAGGTCTTTGCTAAGAAATTTTGAGGCTGGGCAGTTTCAGTAGAAAAAGATTGGATTTAAAGGGAGACCTACAATTCATAGTCTATTCATCTATCCCTGGTGACCAATAGAACATACTGGAGGGGTTTAGGGAACTCATCCACCCACGTGGGAATTGTAGTTCACCCTGCATTCAGAGAGCATTCTGAACCCCACCAATGACAGATCTGAACCAAATTTGGCACAGAGAACTCCAATGACCAATTGAACATACTGCAGGGTTTTAGTGGGATTGGCTTTGATTTTTGGGAATTGCAGTTCATCTGCATCCAGAAATTCTGTGACCTCTACCAACAATGGGCCAGGCCCAAACTTGGCACCGAGAACTCCCATTACCAATTGAACATACTGCAGGAGTTAGGGGGGAATTGACCTTGATTTTGCAGAGTTGTAGTTCATTTGCATCCAGAGATCACTGAACACAGTCAACGACAGATCTGGACTAAATTTGCACACAGACCTAACATGTCCAACTATGAATATTTATTTATTTTATTTATTATTTATTTACAGTATTTGTATACCGCTTTTCTCACCCGAGGGGGACTCAAAGTGGTTTACATATAAGTAATGGCAAAATTCAATGCCAGTACAAACAATTACAATTATACACTACAATTAGACATAAATCAAGTTAAAAACAGTACATCCACAAGCAATAAAACAATAATTAAAACAATAAAATAGTCTTGTCCGTCGAATCGCCATCCCAGTCATTGTGCAGAGAATACAGGTGGGGCTTGAGGGTGATTGCCCTCAGAATCCAGGATTTTTAGTTCTCCCTTTTCCAGAGATCACTGAACCCAGCCAACATTGGATCTGGGCCAAACTTAAGTGATATTATCTAAGATCCCAAAACGAACAATGCCTTTTTCAAATAACCTGGGCACTGCCAGATCACCAAACTAGTGTGTGTGTATATATATACATATATCACACACACAAATGCATACATACATATCCACATACACACACACACACATATACATACACACACCTTCACTTTACCTCCGCTGTTTGTCTTGCTTGAGAATTATAATAATGTTCCTTATATAGCAATATTTCTGCTGGTGTTGTAAATAATTGTCCTGTTTGAAATTATCTTGAGTCTTCACCTCCTGACATAGATGTTTGTCTTCCTTGTGTTCTGGGTTTGACCTGAAAGAGCATTGCCTATGACTAATGTAAACAGTCTTTAGAGTTAATCTGGTTTCTGGTCAGCAAATGTTGACAGATGGAAACAGATGAAAATATTTCCTTTATCACTGTCACAGTTCTTATCACAGTTTAGTAGGCAGGTCAACCATTTCAGTTCTCATTAGCAGGTTTTAATTACAGTCCAGCAAGCAGGTAGTGAATGATTTTGGCATTGCAGGCCTCAATCTTTTTGAATTGTATGTTTAGCCAAATTAGTTTTCATTCATTCATTCCTTTCATTCTATTTCATTCAAACCATATATAATATCATATTGTCGAAGGCTTTCATGGCTGGAATCACTGGGTTGTTGTAGGTTTTTTCTGGCTATATTGCCATGGTCTAGAGGCATTCTCTCCTGACGTTTCGCCTGCATCTATGGCGAAGAGGATGCTTGCCATAGATGCAGGTGAAACGTCAGGAGAGAATGCCTCTAGACCATGGCCATATAGCCCGAAAAAACCTACAACAACCCAGTTATGCATCTGATTCTGGCAAATGAGTATTGCTTTTGTAATATCTCTCATTGTGACACCTCTGCTTAAAACCCTTCAGAGAAGGAGACTTCACTGGACTCCCAGGCAGCATATTCTACTGCCAAACCCTTTCCAAGCAAGCACATTGTTTTCAATATTGTGTATATATCCCCTGCAAAATAAGAGCTGAGCAACCTGAGTTTAATGTTGCAGTGCCATGAAAAAATATCTCAACTGTAATTGCTGCATCAGAAAAGGCAAACCTAGTTCATCACACAAATATTTTTGTTTTCATGCACAGTTGGACTCCTAGAAACCTCCACAAAGCATTATTGCACTTCAAAGCAAAGTTCACCTTCCTAGATACCTTGTTATTAAAGGATTGCAGGCATTTTGCAATCCTTTACTGTACAGTACTAGTAGTAAATTTGACATCCAGGGGATGAAATTTGGTTTCTGGCTTTCAGATGCATCTCCTCCCCTTGGCTGAGTTACATCCTTATTTAACCAAACACAACAGGGAAGCTAATGGCTATTAACTTCAACAAAAGTCATGAGCCTAGTTGCTATGACATTCTCCCTTATAATAAGAATTCCTTGGATTTGGTTCTGAAAATCCTGTTGAAAGAATAGTTTGAAATGCAAACCATTTCTGTTTCTGTCAACCCTCTACCTTCATCCATTGTAAAAACTCTGCATGAGCATCAGAAGATCCTATGCAATAAATGCGTGGGTTTTGACACTCCGTATAGTTTGTAAACACCTTTTGATGTGGTTGCCTGTGGAAATGGCAGCAATACAATAGTTTCTTTCTTTGAAATGGCTCTTTGTTTCTCCCCAAACTGCTGGCTTGGTTTAAAGACATGGGAATTGGGATAAGTGTTTGTGTTCTTCAGAGTTGTTGCTGTTCCATGAATTACATAATTTTAAACACAAGAGGCTAGATCCTAGTGCTTTCGGAAACGAAATACAAGACACTTTTTAGTAATACTGTTGGAACTGACTGTTTTACAGGTTGTGTCTTATGCAAGGTTCTTGTATCCTACCAACGCCCTCGTTGGCCGCAAAAACGAGGCCCACGGTGCCATTCCTGTGTGTCGAGCTCCTCTCCCGCGAGGTCCAGGCAGTTCGAGATACAAAACACCAACAGCCAAAACGATACCTCCCACAGTTGACATTGGTAAGCACCACATTCTGCTCTAACAGTGTCGTTCTGCATTATATTATTTACAAAACTCCTACCTCCCACAGTTGACATTGGTAAACACCACATTCTGCTTTAACAGTGTCTTTCTGCATTATATTATTTTACAGCAAAGCAAACGTTGTTTGGATGATATTTCAGTGGGGGGCAGTGTCAAATGGCATATATTTGGCTAAAAATGGATGGATTATAAATAACAATTGAAATCCCATTTCTAATTTAGGAGTTTTTGGCATATCTTTCGAAGATTCATGCTGCCGCTCTCTTCCAGTGGCAAATATACTATTAAATAAGAATCAGTGAAGACTGTTGGCTCATACATCAGTGTGAATCTGCTCTAGGATTTTGTCCAGATTTGAGATATGGAATGTGGAATGTATTGGACAATTCCTTTAAAGTTCTGGCTGAAGCCCAGACAAGATTTATTGTGCCATCAATTTATTATTTATTTATTTACTCTATTTTGACCCCACTCTTCTCACCGTGAAGGGGACTCAATGTTGGAACCAGGCATGTAGCCGGGGGGGGGGGGGCTTGGGGGGCTTCAGCCCCCCCCGAAATTCTCATGGTGGTTCGCGAAAGGCCTTACTGGTGCATTATTTAAACTGTTATGTTTATTCATATCATGATCTGATCACCATACTCAATATATCCCATATGCATGGGGGTATTGGGGTAATGATACAAAAGGTTTGCTAGGGTAGACCCTCTTTCACTCAGACTCAGCTCCCCCCCCCCCCCCCCCCCCCCCCCCCCCGGAATCAAAATCCTGGCTACGGCCTGGTTGGAACTGTGAGCCTCCAACACTATAAATGCTTTGTTTTAATCATCAGAAGAGTTCAGAAAGTTCCCAGTAAACATAATAAATAAACAAATGCAATAGAATCTAAAAATCAGGTACTAAAATTTCAGAAAGGACCAGGCTAGACTAAGCCACACAGTCATGACCCATCATAAATACTTCTGTGTACTGTCTTCTCAATCTTACAATTTTACCAGGAACTACCAGTAAACACATCTTTTTTTTCATTTAATGAAATTGTTCCCCACATTTTCACTGCCAAAAAAACTCCCAGGGCAACATCCATTTTTATCCAACTGAAAGGACAAGAAACTTAGTTCATATACCGTATGTACTCAAGTATAAGCTGAGTTTTTCAGCCTCTCAGTGTATACTCGAGTCAACGTTATTTATTATTTACTGGGTTATTATTGTTCTTTTTATTACATTTATTATTTTACTTTATTTATTATTATTATTTACATTTACATTACTTTATCATTATTATTTTATTACATTTATTATTTTATTCTATTTAGTTATTATTATTACATTTACATTACTTTATTACATTTATTATTTTACTCTATTCATTATTATTATTACATTTACATTTCCTTATCATTATTCTTTTATTACATTTATTATTTTACTCTATTCATCATCATCATCATTATTATTCCATTTACATTACTTTGTTATTATTTTATTACATTTATTATTTTACTCTATTATTTTTACATTTATTATTTTACTCTATTATTGTTATCATTACATTTCCATTATAGTGCTCTATTATTATTATTATTACATTTATTATTTTACTATCTTCCTTATTACTGGAAGGATACGTAAGCACATTTACATTGAAAAAGGTTAGAATAATGATTTAATCAGAGTTGGACAGTCTTATCGTAAATTAGAGTTTTATATAAAAATTCAAAAACCTATCACCTAGGGATGCCTCAATTAATGTAATTTCATTGATACCTATTTTTATTTTGAAATTTACCAGTAGCTGCTGCATTTCCAACCCTCGGCTTATACTCAAGTCAATACATTTTCCCAGTTTTTTTCCTCAGCTTATATTCGGGTTGACTTATACTTGAGTGTATATGGATATATATCCGTATTTGTGTGTTGTTGTGTGGTGACAGTTTCAAGCATTTGCCAACCCTAAGGTGTCCTTGTCACAGGCTTTTCTTGGCAAGATTTATTCACATAGGGTTTGCCTTTTTGCCTTCCTCTGAGGCTGAGAACATGTGACTTCTCCAAGGTCACCTTTCTTGGCTGACCAGTAATTCAAACCCTAATTTCCAGAAAGTGCAGTCTAATGCTCACACCACTACCCTCACTAGCTCATAATATAGTTTCATTCAAAGTTGAAGCCCAGAAGGCCAATCTCTGCCCAGTTTCCAGCTTCCTTACATATTCAATATATTTGTATAGGCTTATGCCTTTGAAATGCTTCTATTTTTGAGCAGATTTCCTTGTGGTTATGTGGGACATTGTGTCCTATACAATGCTTACATTGAGTGGTTGCACACTGAAATGTCAGGAATGTCTAAATATAGAAAAGATTTCTCTCTTTCAGCCTCATAACCATGACCAGTTGAAGGATACAAATGAGGCATTTTCTGGAAATCAAGGCAGCGTCTTGAAAAGCAAAAACCTAAAGAACTTCTTGTAGAAATCTGGACAACGTAATAATACTTAATGTATTGTTGAAGGCTTTCATGGCCAGAATCACTGGGTTGTTGTAGGTTTTTTTGGGCTATATGGCCATGGTCTAGAGGCATTCTCTCCTGATGTTTCACCTGCATCTATGGCAAGCATCTTCTGAGGTAGTGAGGTGATACCTATTTCACTACTTCTGAGGATGCTTGCCAAAGATGCAGGCGAAACGTCAGGAAAGAATGCCTTTAGACCATGGCCATATAGCCCGAAAAAACCTAAAACAACCTAATAATACTTAGTTGCTCATTGCTCACATGTAGAGAATATCTTATCCGCCCAAAGTTGTTTTTTTTTTTTGCAAAGATATCCTTAGATCCTAATTCCTGAACATGTCCCCAGCCTTTGAGAATTGAACCAGAAATATGGATTCTCTTAAGATAGGAAGAGTATGTAAAACAAGTGGGATTGACAACAGATTGATGCATTTTGGAGTGATCCTGTTTAAGGATCCAGCCAACCAGACCTTCTTTTGTGATGCTCCAATGCATCCCTACCTTGGTTTTCCTCTTCCTTAATCTCACCACACAGTAATCCATGTCTCTTAACATGCCCAAATCCTCACTAACCTGAATGGAAGAAAATCTTTCCCACTTTGTTTTTTTCCTAAATATTTTTCCATACCTGTAAACACGTTAGTGTTTGCCAGAGCCTTGTGATACTTCCATCTTCCACATGGATCATGCTGCTCTACATAGTAGTTCTGTAACTACATGTTGTTTCCAGCTTCAGGAAACAACACAAAGACAAACCTATCCTGGGGTTTTCTGGGCAAGATTTCTTCAGAGGAGGGTTGCCTTTGTCTTCTTTTGAAGCTGAGATGTTCTTAAGGTCACTCAGTGGGTTTCTGTGGCCAAGGAGGGATTCAAACCCTTGTCTCCAGTATTGTAATCAAATGAACTACTCTGGCTCTTGGCTGTACAAAGATCTATCGTAAAAGATCTTGCTGTTCATATGTTGCATAATGCTTGGTGTGTTTCGTAGACTTGCTAGCCTGAGGCATGCATCTCAATAATAATAGCTACTCTCTTTGTTCCATAAAATCAGCTATAATGTTGGCATGCAAGGGCACATTTTGTCTTGTTATTCTTTTGGGCAGCAGAACATCTAAATATAGAGGATTTAGCATTCCTCACAGAGGTGAAGCCAAAAAAGAAACCTGCTTCATTTCCAAATTAAGTTGTACAGCTGGTAATGTGTTTGTTTGGTCTATAATTTCCACCAGTGTTAGCCTGAGTAGGCAGTTGTGAGAAATGGTAAATTAAAAAAAACAACATACGGAGTGGGATGTGTTTAGCTTGGAGAAAACAGAGAGGCAACATGACAGCTGCCTTTATATATCTGAAGGGATATCATGTAGACTATGGAGTCCCCTTGGTGGTGGCCAGGAGAGCATTCGCACAATTAAAACTTGTGTACCAGCTGCACCCTTACCTTGGGAAGTCAGACTTGGCCACGGTGGTCCACGTTCTTGCTACATCTCAAATAGACAATTGCAACGTTCTCTACTTGGGGTTGCCTTTGAAGACTGTTCAGAAACTTCAAGTAGTCCAATGGTGGCAGCCAGGTTTCTAACTGGAGCAACTCACAGGGAGCATACAACCCCTCTGTTGAGCCAGCTCCACTGGCTGCCAGTTTGCTACCGAGCACAATTCAAAGTGCTGGCTTTAGCCCAGGTATGGGCAGGCCCGGGGCCAGATGTGGCCCCTTGGGCTCTTTTCTCATGCCCTGACTTTTTGCTGCTCTAAAGACCAGGGCACAAGGGAGCATTGGTTTCAAATGGCAGGGAAAGAGATTAGACTCAAAAGATTAGGAAGAACTTCCTGGAGAGTGTCATAGGCTGCCTCAGAGTGTGGTGGAGTCTTGTTCTCTGGAGGCTTTTCTGCAGAGGCTGTCTATCAAGAGTGGTTTGATTGTGCCTTCCTGTTAGACTGGATGGCCCTTGGGGGTCTCTTCCAGCTCTAGGATTCTATATCAGGAGTAGGCAATATGGGGTCTAATGGATACACTTTTTCTCTGTCATCCACCATCTCATCCTGACCAAGGCCAACCCTTTTGGGAGCCAAATGTTTCCTGCCTTTCCTTCACTTTCAACTTCCAAAAGAAAAGAGGAAGGGGAGGAAAGGACAGGGAAGGGACTTGGGGAGAACCCCCTCCTTCCCAGCCTACCCACCGTGCTCCAGCCAGCCATGCGGCCCCCAGGTTAGAAAGTTTGCCCATACCTTCTTTAGCCTATAAATCCCTAAACCTTTCAGGTCCAGCTTACCTATCTGAACGCATCTCCCTTTATGAGCCACTTAGAACATTAAGATCAGCTGAGGAGATCCTGCTCTTGGTCCCACCATCCTCGCAGGCGCAACTGATGGGGACAAGCGACATGGCCTTCTCAGTGGTGGACCCTTGGCTGTGGATCTCCCCAGCGAGATCAGATCAGCTCTCTTCCTCCTGACATTTAGAACACTATGCTTTTCAAGATGTAGCAGTCAAAATAACTTCGGGATTGGTGCGATGTCGAATGTTTGTTGATGTCCGATGTTTATGGTTTACTGGTTTTAATCTATTGTGATATGCTATTTAAGTTATGTGTTGCATTTTATATTTTGTGAGGCATTGGTTTTGCTATTTACTTTATTGTGAACTCCTGGTAGCCTCCTGGTGGCACAGTGGGTTAAACCGCTGAGCTGCTGAACTTGCTGATCAAAACGCTGTGGGATGAGCAAGCTGAGCTCTTGTTGTTAGCCCCAGCTTCTGCCAAGCTAGCAGTTCAAAAACATGCAAATGTGAATAGATCAATATGTACTGCTTCTGAGGGAAGGTAATGGTACTCCATGCAGTCATGCTGGTCACTTGACCTTGGAGGGGTCTACGGACAACACCAGCTCTTTGGCTTAGAAATGAAGATGAGCACTACCCCCTAGAATCAGACACGATTAATGTCAGGGAAAACCTTTACCTTGTTATGAACCACTTTGAGTCCCCCCAGGGGTTGAGAAAAGTGGTATATAAATGAAATAAATAAATAAAAGGGCGGCCTATCAATAAAGTATTATTATATTATTATTGTTACTTGTTTTCTTCCACTTCAGAGGCTATAGTGCAAACCAATGAATTCAAGGTAGAATCTCTTTTCTTGTAGTTTGAATCCATTGCTCCATGTCCTGGTCTCCTGAGCAGCAGAGATGTCATATTGAAGACACAACATGCTTATTTTCTGGTGCTCTAGGGACTGAGACAAAGAGAAAAGGATTCAAACTGCAGGAAAAAAAAGATTCCACTGAATATTAGCAGTGTTCTACCATTGCTGAGTTACCCATTCAAAACTTAAGACAGGATTTCTATGGTGGTCCTTAGTTCTTATTTATTTTGTTTCCAGGAAATGACATTGGAGAATTGATAGAATATAATCCCAATCTCCTTGATGACCCGCAGTGGCCCTGCGGGAAGCACAAGCGCGTCCTCATCTTTGCATCATACATGGTAAGATTCTGATGTATTGCAAATCCATAGCAGTTGTGGCACACGAGCGTTGGTTAATGCTCCTCCGTTAATGACTTCGTGTATCATCATGTGTTTCGTACCAATATGTGCCTTGCAGACATTTGCTCTGTTTACTCCTGTTTCTAAATTCCAAGGGCTGGTAAAATACAAAAGTTATTATACCATCTATTAAGCATTGTTTGAAGGTGCACACATTGTTATTCTTCCACAGGAACTATTGTGTGTATGTTGATACTTTGTTGTTGTTGTTCATTCGTTCAGTCGTCTCCGACTCTTCGTGACCTCATGGACCAGCCCACGCCAGAGCTCCTTGTCGGCCGTCACCACCCCCAGCTCCTTCAAGGTCAGTCCAGTCACTTCAAGGATGCCATCCATCCATCTTGCCCTTGGTCGGCCCCTCTTCCTTTTGCCTTCCACTTTCCCCAGCATCATTGTCTTCTCTATGCTTTCCTGTCTCCTCATGATGTGGCCAAAGTACTTCAACTTTGTCTCTAGCATCCTTCCCTCCAGTGAGCAGTCGGGCTTTATTTCCTGGAGGATGGACTGGTTGGATCTTCTCGCAGTCCAAGGCACTCTCAGAACTTTCCTCCAACACCACAGTCCAAAAAGCATCGATCTTCCTTCGCTCAGCCTTCCTTATGGTCCAGCTCTCACATCCGTAGGTGACTACGGGGAATACCATTGCTTTAACTATGCGGATCTTTGTTGCCAGTGTGATGTCTCTACTCTTCACTATTTTATCGAGATTGGTCATTGCTCTCCTCCCAAGAAGTAAGCGTCTCCTGATTTCCTGGCTACAGTCTGCGTCTGCAGTAATCTTTGCACCTAGAAATACAAAGTCTGTCACGGCCTCCACATTTTCTCCCTCTATTTTCCAGTTGTCAATCATTCTTGTTGCCATAATCTTGGTTTTTTTGACGTTTAGCTGCAACCCAGCTTTTGCGCTTTCTTCTTTCACCTTGATTAGAAGGCTCCTCAGCTCCTCCTCGCTTTCGGCCATCAGAGTGGTGTCATCTGCATATCTGAGGTTGTTAATGTTTCTTCCAGCAATTTTCACCCAGCTTTGCATTCATCAAGCCCCGCACATCGCATGATGTGTTCTGCATACAAGTTAAAAAGGTTGGGTGAGAGTATGCAGCCTTGCCGTACGCCTTTCCCAATCTTGAACCAGTCTGTTGTTCCGTGGTCAGTTCTGACTGTTGCTACTTGGTCCTTGTACAGCTTCCTCAGGAGAGAGACAAGGTGGCTTGGTATGCCCATCCCACCAAGAACTTGCCACAATTTATATTGCTCACTATAAATTTGATTGCTACTATAAATAACAGGGAAAACAATGGTTTGTAGTGGTGGCAGAGGGAATGGGGGACTAAGGCAAAACACCAGGGACCCATTCACACTACAAAATTATTGCACTATTATTTCAAATAGGGTCTGTCAGTGATGGTTTTTCACATTCGTAGGAGGACTTGGGAGTTGAAAGAGAGTGAATTCTGCGTAATTGTGGAAACCATGTGTCAGAATCACTACCTTACATTGATGTGTTAATATCAGAGATTTACAATAGGCTTTTTCTAAGTAACAGTGAGGATCAGAACCATTTCTGTTACAGCTGCCACAAGCTAATTGGGTGTGTTATTGTTATGAATAGCTTTCCCACACTGGAAAAGAATATCCCGCTTCTGACACCAATTTGTCATGAATAAGTTTTCAATAACTTTAAAGCATAGGTTCTTTTTATTGCAATTTCCAGTGTGAGAGGTATATCAGATTACAGAAAAACATACAGACATAAAGATTCTATGCAACGATGTTGGATTTACAATTACATTGGCTAACAAACAAACAAAGGAGACTTGCATTTTCAGTCACCATTCACACACATGTACATGCACTCATCCTCATATATTATATCCTTTTCTCCCTCCTTGGAAAAGCACCGGTTAGGCCAGACCCTGCTTTCCTGCAGCCTGCCAACACACAGTTCCAAAACTTCCATAACGGCAAAACTTCTAAACCCCGAAATGCCAAAACTTCTTTCCCTAAGAATAATGCCAAGGACCAGATCTCTGTTTTCCATACAGCAGAACCTGACTCCCTGCACAAAATCTAAGGCTTCAAAAGTGAGCTTCTTCCTCTTCCCTTGAGAAAGAAGCCCCAAAGTGTCCAGAGTCGTGCTTTTCCATAGCATATCTGACATTCTTCGAATACACCATCTCTGTCCTTCCCATGGAGCAGAGAAGCGGGTGAACCAGACTCCTCAGGTCTGTCACAATTTGAGCATTATTAGACTGAGTTTTTTACAGGAATATTCTGCTGATGTGGTCTCAAAGTTGTAAATAAATGATAGACTTCTTCCATCCTGGCTCCATCTCAGTTTCCTGGCCAGATGTTGATTCTTCTTGATGGATGTTGACAAGCACAAGGCTTGTGTTGACTTCCTTCTTAACATAAGGAATGTTGCAAACATTTCCTTAACTTGCCAGAACCATTGTCACAGTTCTTATCAGAGTTTACCTTTTCAGCTGTCATTAGCAACTTTTAATTACAGTCCAGCAAGTGGGTAATTAGTCATTGCAGGCCTTAATATTTTACTGGTGCCTCCAAAATTATTAACTGCATCCATACATCCTTCCATTCAACTAATTCATACCCACACATCATTAAATTCACATTTATGTATTTATGTATTTATATATTTTTATATATATATATATATATATATATATATATATATATATATATTTCATACACTTCTACCTAGCCCTTCTCCCCATGAGGATGGACTCAGGGCGACCTCACGCAAGCACCGTACGATGCTGTCATCATATAAATGGTCAACAAATACATTAAAACAATTCATTAAAACAATAGATTAAACACACTAGTTAAAACCAAATCCAAGTCTGGGTTAAATCAATGTCACAGGTATCTTATTACATTATCAACGTCTGCATGTAACAAGGCACTAGGTTTGGGAGCTTTGAGCTTTGCATTTGACTTAGCTTGATGGCTCGTTAGAGCTGAAGGAGCAGTTGGCTGTTATTTTCGTTGCTGGGAGCAGTTACGCAGTGTCCTGAAGCTGAAGACTGATGCCGTTTGGAGTGCCAAGGAAGGCTGCTTATCTATGGCAAGATAAGGACATTCTACTGATAACAAAGTAGAGAGACTGAAATATTTGATATGTTTTGCATGTTGTCATTTAAAGAATAAGACTCACTGGAGATATTGTTTGTTATACATTGGTGATAACAACTCTTCTGTTTTGTTTTGTATTATTGAACTACAGTGAATTAAACTATATTTTCTTTTCTACTTAACGCAATCATGCTAAAAGTAAAAATGGCTGAGATATTCTGTGGTCTACTAACACTATCCTAACATATCCTGACATGATGATCATGAAGATTTTGAGTGCTTTGAACACCATAGAGCACATTGACCTGCTATATATCTATATTTGCTAGGTCACATCCTGGAGATGGGATTGTAATACTTCATCTGAGTTTTCTAGGGTTGTCTGTTCAATCCCTGCTGGAGATCGCATACCGGACTAAACACGTTTGACCTTAATCATCAAGAAAGTCCTAGTGAACTCAGGGTCACATCCCACATTTCAATTAATCTGTTAGATCTGTCACAAGCGAACTATTTATTCAGTATTCTTCAGGGTGCAAGGAGTGTTGTTACCTTCCTTTACTTGCTTCTAACATTACCCCTCGTAGCTATGCAACAACCAAGAGTATTTGTTTATGTTGCCCAGGATATAGTTGAGGGGGGAGCAGAGGACCTGCAGAAGCTTGCAGTCATGTAGAGTACCAAAGTGCCAAGTATCACAGCATTAAGAGATTACCAAAGAGCTTTGAAAACCTTCTGGTCCTCAAAGAGATTAAAGTTTTCTCATCTAGGATTCTCCTGTGATGGCCTAGATACAGGAGCAACTTGGCTGTAATCCTATACAAGGGCAAATGATGGTTAATAGTAGGAACTTAGCATAACATGATACCAGCTAAGTTCACTCTGCTCTCAAGTTGCTTCTTAAGCATGGGACAACAGATATCCAGCTTTAAACTCAGCTGAGGTCATTTCAGCATAGTAATGCGTCCACCACTAAAGTACTATTGTTTACAAAAGCAATACTCATTTGCCAGAATCAGATGCATAACTTCTTGCTCAGAAAGTGATGTATTGAGATTCTTAGAAGCCTTGGAAATAGTTAGAAAGGAGACGTAAGCGACGTTCTTGCTGTCCATGCTTACATTTGATTCTTAATATGGATTAGTTTATCATAAAGGTGTGCAAACCAAAAATGGAATAATGGTTAGAATGTGGGACTGTTCAACTTCCCACCAATACAAAAAAAGCTCACTAAGTTGCATCTAGAATTAATGCAGTTTGATACCACTTTAACTGCTATACCTCAATGCTATAGAATCATGGGAGTTGTAGGTTAGGGAAGCACCAGCACTATTTGGCATGGAAAGCTGAAGATTATTATTGTTGTTGTTGTTGTTATTATTAACTTTATTAACTTTATTTGTACCCCGCTAGCATCTCCCGAAGGACTCGATGTGGCTTACAAAGGCCAAGGCCACAATAAAACAACAATATAACAATTACATATAAGCCAAAAGCAAATCAAAAACATTAAAGCAATAACAGTAAACAGTAAAAACAGCACACCGTGACACAATAAAACTAGGTCGGGCAAATGTACTGGGTACAGATTAAAAAGTACTGAGTATGCTGAGTGATATAAGGATTTTGGATAAGTGCAATGTGTGGACAATCTTAATCTCTAATAAAGTGCTTTTGGGACGTGTTGCTGGGGTTTCCTATTCTGGAAAGGCACACCGGAATAGCCAGGTCTTCAAGCTCTTCCTAAAGATTGCCAACGTAGGGGCTTGTCTGATGTCCTTGGGGAGGGAATTCCAGAGTCGGGGGCTACCACAGAAAAGGCCCTGTCCCTCGTCCCCACCAGCCGCGCTTGCAACACAGGTGGGATCATGAGCAGGGTCTCTCCGGATGAACGACGAGAGCGTGCGGGTTCATAGATGGAGATGCGGTCACGCAGGTAGGCAGGTCCCAAACCATTTGGGGCTTTGTAGGTGAGCACCTGCACCTTGAATTGGGACTGGAAAATGAACGGCAGCCAGTGGAGCTCCTTGAACAGGAGGGTTGACCTCTCTCTGTAAGGAGCACCAGTTAACATCCTGGCCACCGCCCGCTGGACTAGCTGAAATTTCCGAGCCGTTTTCAAGGGCAGCCCCACGTAGAGCGCATTACAGTAGTCCAATCTAGAGGTGACCAAGGCATGGACTACCCCGGCCAGATCAGCCTTTACGAGGTACGGTCACAGTTGGTGCACGAGTCTCAGTTGTGCAAAGACCGTGTCAAATTACAGTTTCCATCATTCCATGGAACTGAGCTGTAGCAATTAAGTGGTGTCATACTGAATTAATTGTAAAGTGTAGGTGCATTCCAGTTGATCTTGGACAAATCCTTTATCTCTACCTGGCCTATCTTACAGGGGTTCTTGTGGAAAATAGGAGAACCATGCATACTATCTTCACGGGAGAAAAGGCGAGATAGAAATTAAACACCCCTCTTTCTCCTCATCTTTTTCTTCCATATCACTTGTATTATTAACAATGATATATTGGGCACTCAATTGAGTTCTTTCTCCCAGCAAAGATAGTTTAAAGAGCCATAAATAATCACTATTCCTTTTTATTTCAGACCACTGTAATAGAATATGTGAAACCCTCAGACCTTAAAAAGGACATGAATGAAACATTTAAAGAGAAGTTTCCTCACATCAAGCTCACACTGAGTAAAATCAGAAGGTAAGAAAATATTGAGCCGCTAAAGACAAAAAGGGAGGATAGGGTTCTAAGCCAAGTCAAAAGAAGATTCTTTCTTCCTAAACTTGTTCAGAATCCTTCTTATATGCTTATTTACAGCATTTATATTCCACTCTTTTCACCTTGAAGGGGATTCAGGGTGGACCATAAAACACATATACAACATTCAATACCGTTTATACACTGACAAGGCAGACAATTGTACATAGAGGTGTATGTATGTATGTATGTATGGGCTTTTCCCATCTTCAGCATCTTGGAGGCTTGTCCTCAGTTCCGGCCACGGGGGTGGGGTAGGGTGGGGGGTGCTGTTGCTCCAAACTTCCTCCTTGATCGAATCACCGGCATTTTCTGCCATTTCTTTCTGGGTGCCTTAAATACCTCCCCTCTTTAAACAGTACCTATTTATCTACTCACATTTTGCTTTCAAACTGCTAGGTAGGCAGAAGTTGGGCTAAAGGCCAGGATCTCACCCCAACCCAGGCTTTGAACTGTCAACCTTTCATTTGGCAAGATTTACTGCTGCTAGTGGTTAACCTGCTGTGCTAAAGCCCGGCCCAATATCTATAACCCGATTCCATGTTTGTATATTTAGCCATGGCCTAATGAATTCTATTGAAATCATTTGCCTCTGTAACTTTGACTTCTATAAATGTGAAACATGCTTCCAACACACAAATCATTGCACCTCCTATACCCCACTCATATAAATGGCTTCATTCTTCTTTCTCAGTGCACAAATAAGGAAGTCCAGAGAAGTCACATAAACAAAGCCAATCTATCAATTGAGCCACCCCTTGTCTGCAGACTACTAAGAACCCATATGTATTCATTTAATTCCATGTTAATGTTCACTTTTTGGATGGTTTTAGATGTATTGTTCTTTTGTAAAATTGTAAGTTGCCTTGAGTCTCAATTTTGTGAGAAAGGCAATATATAAATAGCACTACTACAACTTTATCTGGAATTCTGGGATCCGAAATGCTCCACAATGGTCTATTCAGTGCACACAAACTTTGTTTCAAGCTCAACATTGTTTGGAATGTTGTATATAAAACTACCTTCATGCTATGAGTATAAGTTGTATATGAGACATAAATTAATGTCATGTTTATACTTAAGTCCCATCTCTGAGATATTTTATTATGTTTATACAAATATCCCAAAATCCCCAAAAATATGAAATATGAAATCCAAAACACTTTTGTTGCATATGAATGGTTTATTTTACCAGCCATAGGCCATAACATCAAATAATATACCACCTTTAAAAGCACAATAAGCACTTTCCAATGTAAACATTCAAACTTATTCTTTTATTGTCTTTAAAATTACAGTAGCAGTGACATGATAACAATAACAAATGTCTGATTTGTTTCATCCCAAACTGTCTCCATTTCTATTTCTAGCTTCCACTGTGGACTTTACTAATTTAGCTCAGATTTTTTGGGCTGCGACTGCAAAAATGTTATATTTTTTGAAATAATCCGATAATAGGTCACAGATAACTTCTAACTGTTGCCATGTTGCCCTTTCTTCCAAAAGGACTCCCAGAAAAATGTTTGTACAGTCATTGTACAACAGGCAATGTAACAGATGGTGTATTAAATCCTCTTTTAGCCCCGACCCACAAATACAAAGTCATTGGGCAAGAGGGATCCCTCTGTATCTTTCCGCTAGACAGCCTGATGGCATTGTTTGGAAGCACAGAGCTGTAAATGCTTTTATAAGGGATACAGATATTAAGTCTTGAAGATATTGACAATATTAGTCACTCTTTAGTAGAGGATACCAAGTGGTGAGACCCTGCTGTTTACTAGCCCGCAAGTTGTTGGATGCATCCATCTCAAAGATTTTGTATCTAATCACCTTTTTGTTCAACTGCATTAAGGTTGTTGTTGACCCATCAAAATACTGATGGAGCAGGGCTAACCAGTATTGTGCCCTACCTCCCTGCTTATATTGCTCTATCAGGCATTGCTTTGTTATAGTCTTATCCTCCATTTCAAGAAGTCTCTTCCCATATGAAATGTTAAGCTTATGCATTCTGGCCTTAAATGAGGGAAGAGCCAATTCAAGCCTTAACAAGGCAGGAGGTGTCCTTTGTGTCAGTATGAAATCCAAAACACTTCTGGTCCCAAGCATTTTTGCATATGGATTCTCATCTTGTATTATTATTATTATGGGAGTCCCCGGTGGCACAGTGGGTTAAACTCCTGAGCCGGCAGGACTGAAGACCGACAGGTCGCAGGTTCAAATCCGGGGAGAGGCAGATGAGCTTCCTCTATCAGCTCCAGCTCCTCATGCGGGGACATGAGAGAAGCCTCCTACAAGGACGATAAAACATCAAATCATCCGGGTGTCCCCTGGGCAACGTCCTTGCAGACGGCCAATTCTCTCACACCAGAAGCGACTTGCAGTTTCTCGGGTCTCTCCTGACATGACAAAAAAAATATTACTATTAGTAGTAGTAGTGGTAGTAGTAGTGTTATTATCATCACAAACAGTTAGTTCCCCATCATAAAACAGGAATGTTGTTGTTCATTCGTTCAGTCATATCCGACTCTTTGTGACCTCATGGACCAGCCCACGCCAGAGCTCCCTGTTGGCTGTCACCACCCCCAGCTCCTTCAAGGTCAAGCCAGTCACTTCAAGGATCCCATCCATCCATCCATCTGGCCCTTGGTCGGCCTCCCTTCCTTTTTCCTTCCATTTCCCCTAGCATCATTGTCTTTTCTAAGCTTTCCTTTCTTCTCATGATGTGGCCAAAGTACTTCATCTTTGCCTCTACTATCCTTCCCTCCAATGAGCAGTCCGGCTTTATTTCCTGAAGTATGGACTGGTTGAAAAGAGGAATAGGAAGACTATCTGACAAGGCACAATAATGAGAATATTTAGGTGCATGTTTTCTGAGCAACAGCTTCTGCCAACCAACCAGTTTGAAAACATGCAAATGTGAGTAGATCAATAGGTACTGCTCCGGCAGGAAGGTAATGGCGCTCCATGCAGTCATGCTGGCCACATGACCTTGGAGGTGTCTATGGACAACTGGAGATGAGCACCAACCCCCAGACTCAGACACGACTTGACTTAATGTCAGGGGAAAACCTTCACCTTTACCTTTCTGGGCAAAAGCAGTCTTTCTTTAAAATAAATAAAATATCCCTTCTGATCTTTCCTTCCTATTGCAGTTTAAAGAGAGAGATGCGGAACCTGAGTATGGAGTGCAACCTTGAGCCGGTAACTGTGTCCATGGCGTATGTTTACTTTGAGAAGCTCGTCCTCCAAGGCAAGCTCAACAAACAGAACCGAAAACTGTGTGCTGGTGCTTGTGTGCTGCTTGCAGCCAAGATTAGCAGTGATCTCAGGAAACATGAAGTCAAGCATCTTATTGATGTAAGTCAAGCCAAGGCAACTTCCAAGAGTGTCCAGTGCTGAAGTACTCTGAAAGTTTCCTCCAATGCCTGTATATAAACATTTCTGTAGGCCTGCACAAAGTGTTGAATGGGAAAAAATACATATATTTCAAGACTTAGATTGCTGAACCCAACAGTCGAGCCAGGACAACTTCCAGGAGTGTCCGCATAGACCTCTGTAAATGTTGAAGTACTCTGAAAATTTCTCCAATATTTGTATATTAACATTTCTGTAGGTCTGCTTACAGTGTTGAATGGAAAATAATATATACGTTTCAGCATTTGCTGAACCTAACAGTATTTTGGCTTGAGAGCTCTTTAGGACTTCCTGCACTAAAAAAACAACTTTAAAATGCCCTTGACAAATGTCTTGTCTCTCAATAGTTTTCATAGAATCATAGAGTTGAAAGAGACCTCATGGGCCATCCAGTCCAACCCCCTGCCAAGAAGCAGGAAAATTGCATTCAAAGCACCCCCAATAGATGGCCATCCAGCTTCTGTTTAAAAGCTTCCAAAGAAGGAGCTTCTACCACATTCCGGGGCAGAGAGTTCCACTGCTGAACAGCTCTCACAGTTAGGAAGTTCTTCCTCATGTTCAGATGGAATTTCCTTTCCTGTAGTTTGAAGCCATTGTTCTGTGTCCTAGTCATCAGGGCATCTGGAAACAAGCTTGCTCCCTCCTCCCTATGACTTCCCCTCACATATTTATACCTGGCCCTCATCATGTCCCCTCTCAGCCTTCTCATCTTCAGGCTAAACATGCCCAGCTCCTTAAGCCGCTCCTCATAGGGCTTGTTCTCCAGACCCTTGATCATTTTAGTCACCCTCCTCTGGCCACATACCAGCTTATCAACATCTCCCTTCAATTTTGGTGCCCAGAATTGGACACAGAATGATTCCAGATGTGGTCTGACCAAGGGAGAATAAAGAGGTAGCATGACTTCCCTGGATCTAGACATTAGACTCATATTTATGCAGGCCAAAATTTATTGGCTTTTTTTGGCCGCCACATGAAAAATTTAGATTCAGGAAGGCCTTTTTAATGCCAAATGCCAACTTTACATCCTTGTTTTAGAAAGGGTTTGTACGTTCAAGTATTCTCCAACTTATGACAATCCTATGCCATCATTTTCTTCTGAGGGTGGGAGTGTGTAACGTGCCCAAGGTCACACAGCAGGTTTCCATGGCTAAGGGCAAATTTGTATCCTGGTTTTAGTCCAATTCCCAAGTGATTTACACCATATTGGGAGGTGGGAGTATGTAAAAAAATGCACTTTATACATTCTAAAAGCCATATAAAGCATTTTTAATACTAAAATCTACAAAAGTTGGGTGGAATCTGGGGCAACCTACTCAGTTCCTCTGAGGGCACTGCAAAGTCTGGATCCCAGTCCTGTCATAAATCTTGGAGAACATTAGGAAGAGAGAGAGAGCCCTGAATCATTCTCATGACTTAAATGCTGTTTTTTGAATGTCACGGATAGCATGAAGAGAAGGGAGTGCTGCTGTCCTTGTTTCTCTACGTGCCTGGTCCTGTTTACTTGCAGTTGCTAGTCAACCAAACAAGCATTTGTTGATGTCTGACTTATGGCGACCCCATCATTCACAGGGTTTTCTTATCAAGATTTGTTCAGAGGAGGTTTATCTTTGCCTTCCTTGCTAATGGGAGTATGACTTGCCCAAGGTGTGTTAGTGGGTTTTCATGGCCAAGCAACCATTCAAACCCTGGTCGCCTTGAGCTCTAGCTTAACACTAAAGCCGCTCACAAGACTTCACTGGCTTTGACCAAATAGCAATATACAACCACAAATAACATTCATTCAGTACTGGAATTGGATGTTGGTCAAAGAACTGAAGGAACTCTTTCCTACAGCAGATCTTTTTGTTCAGACACATTCACTATTATGTTGGCTAACCCCTCTCCCATTCCCATAATGGCAAGCCGTTCCTTTTCTACTTCTTTATCTGGGAGAGGTGGCTTTGGAGTGGTCTCATGCAGCCACATTTTATCCATATTTAGAAATGAATACTACTCCTCGTAATACAGCATATTTCCAAATAAATGTGTGCATAGAGTTGAAGCCATAGCTGTTTAATCTCTGCATTGCTGTGAGTATTCCTGCTGTGTGGCCATATTCCATAAGCATTCTCTCCTGACGTTTCGCCCGTATCTATGGCAGGCATCCTCAAAGGTTGTAAGATTTGTTGGAGACTAGGCAAGTAGGGTTTATATATCTGTGGAATAATGTCCAGGGTGGGAGAAAGAACTCTTGTCTGTTTGAGGCAAGTGTGAATGTTGCAATTGGCCATCTTGATTAGCATTGAATAGCCTTGCAGCTTCAAAGCCTTGCTGTTTCCTGCCTGGAGGCATCCTTTGTTGGGAGGTATTAGCTGGTCCTGATTGTTTTCTGGCTGGAATTTTCCCGATTTCTGTGTGTTGTTCTTTATTTACTGTTATGATTTTAGAGTTTTGTTTTCATACTGGTAGCCAGATTTTGTTCATTTTCATGGTTTCTTACTTTCTGTTGAAATTGTCAACATGCTTGTGGATTTCAATGGCTTCTTTGTGTATTCTGACATGGTAGTTGTTAAAGTGGTTCTTTCTCCCACCATGGACATTCCACGGATATATAAACCCCAGTTGCCTAGTCTTCAACGAACCTTACAACCTCTGAGGATGCCTGCCATAGATGTGAGTGAAATGTCAGGAGAAGATGCTTCTGGAACATGTCCATACAGCCTGGAAAACTCACAGCAACCCAGTGATTCTGGCCATGAAAGCATTCAACTACACTGTTTCATTTCCTTCAACTGAGTTCTTAATTTCAAGACCTTCGAATGTGTTATCTGCTGGCCAAACATGTTTTGCATTCTTTATCTTAACTGTACAGGACTCTTGTTGCTTAAGTATGTTAGGATGGCACATGAGTGCTGCTTGGTCCAGGTCACGAAGGCGAGGAGTGTTTGTGCCCAAAATACCATTATTAAGCTATCAAAAATCTGCAAACTATTCTAAGCATAGAGATTATCTCTGATAACCTATTCTTATTCTCCTGATTCTTTGTTTATGTCTGTTTCTCTCTCTTGTAGAAGTTGGAGGAGAGATTCCGATTCAACCGAAGAGATCTCATTGCTTTTGAATTTACTGTCCTTGTGGCTTTGGAACTCGCCCTTTACCTTCCTGACAACCAAATGTTACCTCACTTCCGACGTCTCACGCAGCAATCCTAGCCAAAACTGTATCCTAACAAAGTGCCAGTACTTAGATCGTGAACTTCGTGGTGGGCCATCAGCGTTTCCTGTGTCACAGTGTTGAACTGCATTATGAATATACCTGAAATGAAGACTGCTATGGAATCCTTTGTGATGGCACGAACAAAACAGATTCCAGGTGTCAAGTGAATGGCATGAAATGCTGAGCTTTGGATTGGGACATTAAAGCACAACCAGTCTGCAACCAGTTGCCACTAGAAGCCGCTGGGTCGTACGTTACGTCTTTGGTGTGTTAAACACAGAAATGGTCCGATCTTCTCTCCAGGCCTTGCTGCTTGGTCACTTCCATGAACTTGCCATCGTTCTCTTTTTCTTCTTCCTGAAATCTGAAACAGCATCGCCTCCATTCCAAAATGTTGTATGCTTCAAAAATATTACTGATAATAACCCTTTTTACACTTCAAACCATGAAGATAGATATTATGTACTATTTGAGGGGGGAAGATGTGCCTAAGGTTGGGCTGGGCTGGTTCCAGTTTCTCTCTCTGATTAAGTTATATTGTTGTAGTAACAATTTTGAACTTAAACTGCAGTGTATTTTTTGCCTTCTTTTGCTTTGTACTATAACAATAACAATTCCATTCTGTCTGCACTGTCACTTCCATAAGGGATGTATGTTGAAGAACAATATTCTGCACAGTTTCTGAGTGGGAAAAGTTTTGCTTTCCTTTTTTAAAACTTAACATGTTTATCCAATGCTGCACTTGTTGAGCCGAGGCAGCCATAACAAAAAAAATCCCATTTTAACTATCAGAGGTCATTTGATTTACATTGATAATTGAGTTTTCCAGCTGCCAGAGCTGACACCTTTCGGTCCCTGCTTACTGTAGCCTGAAACTAATAACTGTTTATATTTATAACAATGTTTTCATGTATTGTCTTTCATGTTTGCTCTTGGCATATAAATTTCTCTGCCGGTACAGCTGTCGTTATCTAAATTAAGCCAATGAAACTTGGCATGTCTGGCTTCTAAAATACTCTTTTTTCCCCCCCACCTTATATTTTGGTTCTTCCAAACTTTTTGCCACTGTGATGGTCCTTGTGAACCTGACTTCATTGCACATTAAATCCCAAACTCAAAAGTTATTATTGTTCAGCAGACTGGCGGAATACAGTTGATACAATTCCAACAGTAGTTAGCCAAATATTTTGAATTAAGCATCCAGATATTAAAATATAAACTCTATAACTTTTTTAGACTTGTGGCAGAAGAGTCAGTGACTGTCAGATTCCTTTTCTAAGCAATATCGTGATGCAAGTCAAAGTATTTATGTGTGCGAGTTTGTGTAATATTTATTAGTGAGCAACATTAATACTTGGGTGTTGTGATTGAGAAATTCATACTCTTAATATTTTTGTACTGTGGCATTGGCCTGTTCTAAACATCATGTAGAATGAAGCTGTAGAGCAAAGTGCAGAATTGTGGGTTGCATCACTGCAGATAAAGAAAGAGTAGTTTTAAATGGGAGCATTCCTTCACTCCATTGCATTGTAATCCGAGCACACTGGGAGGGCTTGGATGTACCATTTTCCTTGATGTATGTATGCATGGTTCTTTATGTGAAATATTATTCCAAAACGTGGCCATCGCCCCTGTGCAAGTCTGAAGTGGTTCAGCTGTCTCTGTCAACCCATCTATTACATTAAAAATCAAGTATCTTCCTAATATGATGAGGGCTATATATCCTTCCAGAACCTAGAAAGCTGACATTTTTATTGAGATTGATGTATTTAAATAGCCACGGAATAAAGGTGAGAAGGGAAAGTCACAAAGTGGTACTAGAAACATTTGAAAAAGCAAGTGCTGTGTCAGTGTTTTGATCTATATGGGATTATTCAACATGGAGATGGACTTTATTGTCCCATAGCATTTGGCATCAATGCAGGAATGACTTGGATCAATCACTTTTGCTCAAGGCAGTTTGACATAACCAAGATTGCTGAGAACAAGGCCTCTCTAATTAGGGTTTGAATATTAGATAACAAGTAATAGGATCAGCCAAGTCATAAGTCTAGCACCTTTTTATATAATGTTAGAATAGATGTGATATCATATGGTACAAGGTTCAATATATACGTGTAGGAGGTGTAACTTGTGCTGTTCAAAATATGAAATGCAATGTGTCTTCTATGTGAGCAGCCTTTTCATGATACAGGCTAGCACTCTTTTTCAGAGAGGCATTTAACAACATTTCCATGGGGTATTAAAGCATGCGGTCCTCCACTTGAACAGAAAGAGGCCATAAAACAGTGTCCAGGTGTTTTGGACTTCAACTCCCAGAATTCTCAGCTAGCTTACCAGCTGTTAGGAACTGTGGGAGCTGAAGTCCAAAACACCTGGAATCCCAAAGGTTGGGAAACACTGCTGTAAAACAAATCTAATTTGTCAGACAGGGTTGACTCGTATGCACTGTGCCTAGAGTAGCTGTCAATGTAACTTTTTCTAATTGATGCAGTTGTTATCTTTATCCAGGCAAAATCCTGGGTTCGGTGAGAGTGGATTGACTTGTGTTTAGGACCGTTTGTGCAGAAAGCTTGGTCAGGCTCCTTATATTGGTAACTTTTGAAAGTAATAATGTTTCCAAGTTCTGCATTTTGAGCTGTGCAAGGCTGTAAGAATTGAATTATGTGTATGAAAGAAATGTATAGTTTAAAATTAAATTATTGAGTGAATATTTAGGCAGTGGGGACATGGAAAAGCTCCTGTTTTCAGGCATATGCTTAAAAAATCTTTGTTTTGTCTGCATAAGGTCAATCAATGGTATGGTTGGATTGTCTTCCGTTCTTTACAACAGGTCAAAGAATCTGAAACCAGTCCAAAATTTCAATCTTTTTTCCATGCGTTCCTTATTACTGCACAAATATATCTGCAGATTTTGATTGGTCTATATCTGGACAAAAGAAAACTTATATTAATTTATTTAATTTTTTTTGTATTGCTATCAAAGATTTGAGATACATGTTGATTCAGGAGACATGAAGATGGGGGATTGGGGAATCAGTCATTTGTAACTGCAATTTGACTTGTATGCTGAGTATTTTATTCCTGTTACTTAATCTGTACAGAAATGGTCAGATGCTGATTACTGCAGTCAATGCAGAAGGCATTTACTCCGTTTGCATTTTTTAATCTTATTTTTTTTGCTTATTATTCTCAGTCAGCGAAACCTCATTGCATTCCTCCTTCATGCAAAAGCTGCCACTGTGTGGTAGAAGTTATTATGACAAGCAAACCTAGCTCCAGTGTAAAATGCCAGATTGCTTTCTTTAAGAGATACTAGTCTCTTAACAGTTGAGATTTAAATTATGTAACCTTGTGTAAATATTGGTGCTTGTCTATTTTAAGTCCAAGAAAACACTCTGAATGGGAGTTTGTATATTTAATGTTAATAGTATGTTTGTGCCGTCCTAAATTTAAGTTCTTGCTCTGTTGACTGTCAAATTCTGTTCTTCCAACTAAATGGATGGATTTGTTCATAAGGTGCTGTGTAATTGAATGTTTTGATACCTATTTTATAACCAAACACATCTGAAGGAAACTTCAGGCTTGTGTCATAAATATTCCTTTGAAAAA